GTTGAGCAAAATTATATATCTGGATTATTACTTGTTCAAATGGCTTTTAGAAATTTTAATTATTTTGCAAGTCATTTGAATAAGTAATAATGAAGATATCAAATTTTGATTAACAGATTCTTAATCAGCATGTTCAGGAGTACCTATACTGAGATTTTGAACAAAATCTATCTTTTGGCCAAAAATCCTGTAAGGCACAAGCCCACCCGGGCACAGGTCACTGACCCACATCAGGGCCTGGGGGCAAAATGTAATAATAATGATTATTATTATTACTATTATTTTTTATTTTTATTATTATTATTATTATTATTATTATTATTATTATTATTATTATTATTATTATTATTTTTATTATTATTATTATTATTATTATTATTATTATTATTATTATTATTAATATTATTATATTTATTAATAGAAATTAATAACAAAATAATAAAATTAAAAATAACTAATAACAGTAATAATAATAACCATAAATAAATACAAAAACGAAAAAAAAAATCAAAAGTGAGAAACGATATACATTATGTACAGTATGTTGCTTTGTCAAATTAAGAGAAACAATTGACACCTTGCAATTGCGCGTAAATGAGGCAGAAAGTCAAATGAGCAACCTGGGACTTGTCACAATTTTTGTGATGCCATATGGCAGCAGGGTCTACCATCTTACTTGCGTACAACACTTGTATACAGTACTGGGCTACTACACTTTTACCCTGAGAAATGTGAGTGACTAGAGTAAAATAACCCCCTGAGATGGTGGTTATTTTACTCTAGAGTGACTCACGATATCCCGTGTGTGTGTGTGCGTGCGTGCGTGCGTGTCAGCAGAAAACAAGTATTAATCTCAGAAGTTTGTCGTAAAAAACTGCCTCTACAGTAACTAGTTAAGGTAGATTCTCACTCTAATTTTGTCCTTTAATTTGTGTTAAGTGAAGGAATTTAGTTTAGTTTGTGTAATAAAGAACTCCTAATTGGTGCTAAGTGAATGCATCTAGTTAAGGTGATTTGTAATTTTGTATTGTAGAGGGTGTATTAAGTGAAGGTATTTAATTACAAGACTAAATGTAATTTTGTTTCCTGCAGTAATTGGTGTTAAGTTGAATATATCTGGTTGTGGTGGTCTCAATGTGAATTTGATGTCATTTTGAATATATTTTTGTTGTGATTTAGGAGTCACCAAGTCAGGCGCATTCTTACATTATCTACATCGAGGAAAACTCAGCGTGCGGATCTGTGAGAATGGGAATCCTGGATAGCAATTATCCATTCTCAACCTGGCTTCTAATACGCGACGCTAGGCCTGAGTTATTTTATGTTTGTTGTAGATAGACATACACGTATCATCTAAGAATATGCCTCCTCCTACAGTCCTACAGGAGAGAGACCGATGCTATGGTTGTATACGAGCTTCAGAAGGATTGCAGCCCTACAGTGTTTGCCCATTTGCGGTAATGTTCTTGGGCAATGAATTCATTAAGCAAATCTTTGAACAATGATTAACGGTCTAGTAGTTTATTGGCGTGTCTATTATGTACACACACACACACACACACACACACAGCGAAATCTGTATTTGTAGAGCTACTTTCCGTAAATTCCAGGTCGTTCGCTCCTGGTGTCCTTGGCGAGGTGGACTGAGGTTTGGAAGTCTTGCAGTTCGTCCGTGTGTGTGTCCGGGAGTTGTCAACACGATAACTGTAAAGGAAAAAAATCTGTGAATTGTATTTTGTAACCAGACTTGCTATGAGAATATATCACAACACGATCTCAGACGAATTCGATAATTAGTATTTTGTGTTGTACAGAATCATGGTTATGTCGGGGAACGGCGGGGAACTTTACCACTCCTACTTTTCATTCAGGCAAAGCGTTATGCAATTTCACATTGATTAAGCATGTACACATAAGCAGTGCAGGTATACAAACAATGGTAAAAAGTACGTTGATTTTATCAGGGATAGCTCAACAAAACTATCATGTGGGGACCTATGGCATGTACTGTAGTAGGTAGTAGGCAGTTACCAAACAGGGAGGTACTGCCGCCTGGGAAGATATTGGAAGCATAATGTATTGTCTAATGGTAGACCCTGCTGCTATATGGCATCACAAAAATTGTGATCAAGTCCCAGGTTGCTGATCTGACTTTCTGCCTCATTTACACACAATTGCAAGGTTTCAATTGTTTCTCTCACTATTGACAACACAACATACATATATTGTTTCTCACTATTGATCTTTTTTTTGTATGTCTTTATTATTATTATTATTATTATTATTATTATTATTATTATTATTATTATTATTATTATTATTATTATTATTATTATTATTATTATTATTATTATTATTATTATTATTATTATTATTTTATTGTTATCATTATTATTTTATTTTTATTTTGTTTTATTAATTTTTTTATTTATTATGAATTATTATTAATATTAGTAATTATTATTATTATATTTTCGCTCCCCTGGCCCCGATGTGGGTCAGACCTGTGCCCGGGTGCCGGTGGGCTAATCCCAATAAAAAACAATAAAAAAATCAGTAACGCTAAATCTGCGTACACATTTGTGGTTAAATGTAACAATCACTGCGTATCACTTAAGCTACCTGAGACTAGTTTTAACAAGCTTTTCTCCTTTGTAAAAATAAATCAAAATTTAAGAGGAAGTCCTTTCTTCAGGGCATACGATTATTCTTATATTAACTTGATGTAGGTAGATGCTTCAGCGACTAGGGCCTTTAGGGTTGTCTTACCCAAGGGGTTGATGTTTTTTGTACTCGAGGGGTTAATGTTATCATATTCAAGGGATTAATGTTATTATACTCAAGGTTTTAATGTCATCGTACTCAAAAGGTTAATGTTATCGTACTCAAGGGATAAATGTTATCGCTAAGTCCTAGTTTCTACATATTACAACAGCTGTCACTCATTATTAACAGAGATATTTACCCTAACACAAAGTGAGGCAGCGGAGTATGACGCAGTAGTAACAAGTCCCATATTTGCTCAGTAAGAAACTACTGTACCGTGTTTGTCTTAAAAATAAGCCCCCGGTCGTCCTGGCTGAACCATTAGAGGAGTCTGGCCTTCACTACAACCTTTCCGCGAGATGATGAATTGACTGTAATAGTTTCTTGAGCGAGTTGCTATCGAGATGAGTGGTGCAGTAATACTTGACGAAATTCAATTGGACCAAATACTTCCTGGATGAAATGCAGATAGTTTTCTGTTGTTAAAAAATGAAAATATTAATTGGACAAAACCCCAGCTGAACTAGATTCCTCTTGGCGAAACCTAGCCAATATCCCATTAGACTGAAAAAAAAAAATCGGGCAGATAACTAATTTGCACAAAATTACATTTAACGAAATATAAACAGGCAATTTCTCACAAAAAACTAATTCTAAACAAGATCACACGCAGTATCCCTGATCAAATTACTGCCGGATAAGCAAATTTCCCATCGGACAAAAACAATCCTTACTACCATTATAATTAACTGGACGAAATCCCACCGCCTTGTAATTCCAAGTATCCAGTTAGGTTAGGTTAGGTTAGGTGGTATTGGGGCTATAACCAACTGCTTCAGACCTTTACCATAAATCCACAAGTTTAAAATACTAAGCGGTTAAACTATTGTGGTGTTGTTATGATGACGGCTGTTGGAACACTTTTGAAATATTTCCTCCACTCGTAAATTCACCAAACTGGAAGGTCTTTAGCGTGAGGCAGACTCGGGGAGAGGAGAGGATAAGAGAGAGAGAACGAGAGGTTGTCCTTCAATGGTCTTTAACCTTAAGCCAAATACTGTACTGAGGGAAGCACAGCGTCACCTAAAATAAATACACAGTTTTGTTGTGGTCACGGTGGCCTCGTTCACCTGTAGTCTAGATCACTGAAGCTTATAGCAATTTATGTTGAGATCAGCTGATGTTCAGAACAATTTGTTTAGATCAGCCGATGTTTAGAACAATTTTTGTTAAGATCAGCTGATGTTCAGAACAATTTGTTGAGATCAGCCGATGTTTAGAACAATTTATGTTAAGATGAGCTGATGTTCAGAACAATTTGTTGAGATCAGCCGATGTTTAGAACAATTTATGTTAAGATCAGCTGATGTTCAGAACAATTTGTTGAGATCAGCCGATGTTTAAAATAATTTATGTTTTGATCAGATGATGTTCAGAACAATTTGTTTAGATCAGCTGATGTTTAGAACAATTTATGTTTAGATC